CAGCTTGGGAGGGAAATCCCGGGCTCTGAAAATCCCAAACCAGAGCTTCAGTTTTCTCATTCGCAGAAGCGGTGGAGGGAAGGGTGGACCAGCTGGGGATGACCCCCAGCTCTGGCAAGTGTCATCCTTTGAGTTTCTAGATTGAAAAGGGTGTGTGTGTGTGTGTGTGTGTGTGTGTGTGTGTGTGTGTGTGTGTGTTGTGTTTTCATGTAGGTTTGAGGCCACAGCTTTTGTGACCTCAAAGGTAAAACTTAAGAGAGGGAAAGGACTGGGGATTCCGGAGAAACCAACCTCACTACCACCGCCTCCTCTCCTTCCTCCTTCCATTACTCCCACCGTCTGAACTCTCTGGTGAAGAAGCACCAGACAAGAACCTTGGCAATCATATGATTCAGTCCTCTGCCCCCCACCTCCTGAACTTTGTAGGTAAGAAATGTAAGTCCAGGGAGGAAAAGGGGGTTGCCCAGGAACACACAGTGCGTACAGGGCCTAACCCAATCCGACATAACCCAATCTGCCCCTCCATTCTCCCCAGCCCAGTCACATCTGAGGCTGGCCCTAGCTTTGACAAGACCCAGGGAGGTGGTCTTGAATCCTGACAACCTTGCGTCTGCCTACATGCCTTGCCACAGCAGTGAATCTCTTCCCTAGACCCTTGCCTAGGTCACAGTCCCCTTCCCCAAGGGTCTCCCCGCCCCCCACAAGGCCTGAGGAGTTGGGTAAGGCTATCCTGGAAGCTTTCCATCCCCTTTGCCCAGCTTCCCTCTCTTCTGGGCCTCCTCTCTGCCTGGCATTTGGTTTTGGCAGTACCAAAGGAGGGGCCAGCCTGGCTGCCCACTCATGGCCCAACTGAGCCAAGGCCCAGTGTCCTGGAGGAATAATTCTCATTTGCCTCCTCCCTCCCTAATTCCTTCTTGGATCTGCCCTTTTCTCTCCATTCCTCACTCCTACTCCCCCCTTCTTGTCCCTCACTACCTCCCTCTGTTTCTTTTTCTCTTTCTTTTCTTTTCTTTCCTTTCCTTTTTTTTTTTTTTTTTTTTTTTTACTTTAGAGAAAACAAACAAGTTTTTCTGCAGAAGTTGAAATGTCTGGGTTCTCCCCGCCTTCCATGTGTGGCCACAGTGACTTAGTTGGCAGAATCACGAGGAAAGGAATTGAAAACTGAAAGGGAGCACATGGAGGATTTGAGGAAACCTTGCTTTTCAGATGTTCCTGAGGGCGTGCCTAGGTAGGAGGAAGCTCGTCGAGCCCTCTTCTCTCTCTTCTTCCCCCCCGCCCTGTGCAATAGTTTTGGTGGGCCGGGGATCAAACACACACACAGCTAGGGATCACCTGGAGTGAGAATCAAATATTGGAGCTGAAAGTGACCATGACAATTTTATAAATGGGAAAACAAACACTGGAGAGAGGAAGTGACTTGGCTGGTGGCAGATCTCAATCTTTCACCAAGAGGTGGGCAGGCCTCGATTGCCAAGTATGTCCACCAGATTTTTTTGTTGTTGTGTTGAAGATTGAACCCAGAGGTGTTTTACCCCTGAGCCACATCCCCAGTCTTTTTTTTTTTTTTTTTTTTTTTTTTGAGGCAGGGTCTCACTAAGTTTTCTTAGGGCATCACTAAGTTGCTAAGGATGGCCTCAAACTTGCTGTCCTTCTATCTTCAACCTCCCAAGTTCCCGGGATTACAGGCTTGTACCACCGTGCCTGGCTGCCCACCAGCCTTTTGCTGCAGGCAAATGTGAAAGTCCATGGCTGGGAGCAGATTCCTTGAGTTTCCAAGTCCTTTGAGCAAGGGCTGGAAGCAGAGGACCACTTTGGCTGTATATTCACATCAAGGTACCTAGAAGAAGGTGATATGAGGGTGCTGCTTAAGAAAAGGGACCTTGCCAGCCCACTTCAGGTAACTGCCTCCGAATACTTCTCCCCTAGGGCCTGCAGGGAACTCCTGCAGGGAATTCCCACCCACCAAACATCTGGCTGAACTGGGTTTGGCTTAGCTAGGGTGTGGGTAAGTCTGGGTCCTAAAGAGCTATTATTGAGGTGTCAGTGAACAGAACTGGAAAAGCTAATCTAAAAGGGAGTGGCAGAGTCTTCCGAGCCCTCAGGTACCCCCATACCACACCTCTGTCCAGCAGATGTTTCGCTAGCTCTACTCTCTCTAGCTCTCTCCAGTTGGGTCTTTGTCTGTGAGGCTCTACATCTTGTGTCTCTTGCTATTTGTTTCCTCCTCTTGCTTTGATATTCTCCTCTCCTCCCAGCCCGATCCCCACCATCTCCCTGACTCTCTGGTTTCTGCCTGGGTTTTCTCTCCCTTTCTCTGGGCCTCTGTTTTCTGAGATGCAGTGTGAAGGAGGAGGGACTTTGGAGCTCTCTCAGGATGAGCAAAGGCCACTTGAGGGATTAAAGGAGAGCAGAGTGTCAGAGAGTTGGGTTGGGGGCAGAGGTGACTGTGGTCGTCCAGATAACACAACTACCCGGAAATGTCAAATTTGGGGTTTCTTTTTGTTTTCAGTCACTTGGTTTGGTCTCTGCTATTTCCCACCACAAAGCACCCTAGTGGTTTTAGGGGACCATGCTCTGGGGGAGAAAACTGAGGCTTCAAGGATGGGGTTCAGGAAGATTAAAAACTGCCTAGTCTAGATTGAACCAGGGTTAGAGGCTGGTCTCATTGTCCCCAACTGCCCTTCACCCCGAATTCCAGGTTGTAGCATGAGATGAGGAGTGAGGAAGGATTTGAAAAAAAAAATTTATAGGAATACAGATCCCAAAAGAAATGGGCCATATTTTACTAAGAATAGTAATGATCTGTAGCCTAGTTTGTATTTAGCATACTATACACACATCCTGAACTGAATCGTGGCACATGTGTGTACAACATGGTAGAACTCTTCAATTCCACTGATACTCGCATCAATCTGAAAGGTAGGGCCAGAATCATCCCCTTTGATTAATCGACAAAGGAGATCTATCTGAAGCTGTCTGGCCCGGGAGTGCCCAGCTGGAACCACAATCCCAGTTGCCCAGACCTAAGGCAGGGGCTCAGTGCGACTCTCCTAGAACTCTCCCAACCCCAGCACATTTGCAGATTGGAGAGGTCTCCATAGGTTAGGTTAGCTCATGACTGTTCTGGGGTACAGAGCATGGCACCTCCACTTCCATGCTGCCCATGCCCTGCTTTGTTAAATGATTCAGTGTGACGTATGTTATGTGAAGATGGGTCAAGTTCATGGTGGAAGGGAACGATAATCCTAAGTCCCCTTTCTGGCCTGCCCTTGGGGACCAGGTTAGTGGGTGAAGCCCCTATCCTAGGGAGACCAGATGGAGGTCACCTTGACCTGATTGTCCCTGGAGGTAGAAGGAGGTGGTACAGAGACCCCTTTGTTTTTTTTCTGCTCCAAATCCCTTCTTTAAGGAGAATTTCTGTTGCCTGGGAGCCAGAATGGGGAGGGGGCTTCCCAAGAAAGTTGAAGGTAGTCCCAGGAAATATTTCTGTACCCTCTGAACTTTGTGGCAGACAGGGGAGAACTGACACCCTGGGGCCTTTAATATCCTGCTTTGCCCCCACCTTGCTTCTGTTTGGACTATCTGCCTCCATGGTATCCCCAACCATAAGGATCCTAATGTGGAGCCACAGGCCACGCTCAGAGTACACCCCACCTCTGAGACCAGTCCCCTCACCGAGTATCTCCCTGTAGAAACGCTGCCCTGTTCTTGTCCATGAAGACAGAGGAGACCTGGGGAGGGGGTGGGGGTGGGGGAAGGGGGAAGGAGCAAGGAGCTGTGGGATGGGGTGAAGCCCATTCTTACCTCTGTCCCCTCTCCTCCACCTTCTTCAGAGAAGTCAGTTTCCTGTGAAGTCACCAACAGAACACAAGACTACCCTGCCTGAGGCATGGTGACTGTCCTCTATTTCTGGGAACAGAATGAGGGGAGGGAAGCATGTGGAACTGGACAGAGGGAGGGGGATCCTGCCTCCTTTACCTGCTGCCATGGGGGAGAGCTGGCAGGTGGCTTTTCTCTGGGCACAGAAAGGAGAGTTGAAGGCCATCCTGGTGGCCCCTTCAGGTGGACAGGGAGGAACCCACCATTCGAATGTCCTCCTGGTTGCAGAGCCTGGTGGAGGGACTGGATGGGCAGCTGGGAGGGCTTGGCTGCTGTCCGGAGCAGACTTGGCTTCTTATCCGCATCCATGATGGCTATCGCCCCTCTTCCGGCTGAGCTAGTTTCTCCTCCTTCTAGCCCAACAAGAACTCTTTTGTGCCTTGGCCAGCTCAGTACCCAACCTCAAGCCCTCTGGGGGTTCCGTGGGAGAGGGCTACACACCTCCTTCCCTGCCATCCACCAGGCCCTGCCACTTTCCTTTGTTATGACTGGAGGGGGTTTCTTTCTTGTCATCTCTGTTTCCCTTTGTTCTCTGTTTTTTTTTTCTTTATTTTTATTTTTATTTTTATTTTTTTTTGGTCATACTGGGGACTGAACCAAGAAGCACTCTACCACTGAGCTGCGTTCCCAGCCCTTTTGATTTATTTTATTTTTTGGATTTGGGGATTGAACCACTAAGCTATATCCCCAGCCCTTCTGTGTTTTATTTTGAGACAGGGTTTTGCTAAGTTGCTCAGGCTGGCCTCAAACCTGAGATCCTCCTGCCACAGCCTCCCAAGTTGCTGGAATTACAGGCATGGCCCTTTTTATTTTATTGATTTTTTAAATTTTTGATATAGGACCCCACTAAATTACCCAGGCTGGCTTGACACTGCCATTCTCCTGCCTCAGACTCCCAAGTAGCTGGGATTACAAACCCCGTTCCTTGATTTCTTAAATCTTATACTCACCTATATCTTCCCTGCTCATTCCCCTGCTCCAAGCCTCAAAGTAGGACTCCCTACTCCAGGAGCAAATAGGGAACATAAAGTCAAAACGAACACAGAACCAATGACCCAGCCCTTTCTTTCTCTTACTACTGGCCTGGTCTTCATCTGCCGCTGACATCAGCCTCAACCAAGGGGTTTTCCTTCACCCTGTGCTCTAGCCATCCAATCCTCCCTTATACCATCCTCTCAACACTAAACTTTTACGCACTCAATTCAACCTACCTGGAATATCATTCTTCCCTTGGCCACCTGGTGAAATCCTCCTCATCTTTCCCAGGGTCCGTGTAGCCTAGAGGAAAATAAAAAGGTTTTGGAATCATAAGGACCTGATGCAAACCCTGGCTCTGCTGTGTGATGTTGGGTACTGAGTTGCTTCTCTGAGCTGAGCACCCTCACGTGCAAAAGAAAGACAGAAGGCTCACCTGCCAGGATTGCTGTTAAGATTTGGTCACAGTGGCTCAGTGGTAGAGCACTTGCCTAAATGACAAGACTCAATCACAGTGCCTGGCACAATAATAAGACCAGTGAATCTAGGCATTTTCTCCTCTGTCCCTCCATCCCATCTGCATTGTGGGCCCCTTCTTATGGCTCTAACGAGTTCCCCAAAGGTCTCTGTCCCATTGCTTATTCATAATAGAGTCTTCAGAAATGTTTATTGGATTAAGAAGTTCCTAAAACAACCCAGGGTTTCCCAGAACTCCAACAGTTCAGAGCAGACCTCCTTTCTCTCACCCCAACTCACAGTACCCAATGGCGTTCCCCTCTACCGCCCTGGCCTCTGCGTGTTCTAGTCCCACTGACCTGCTTCTGTCCAGGGCAGCAGCAGCCGCAGCCTCATTGTTGCCCCGTGCAGGGCTGACTTTTGAGTTCTTAACCTTCTCAGGAAACTAGCAAAGTACTGGCCGAGGTGGCACTCTGCTCTCTCTCCTGCATCAGCCCCACCCGCACTGGATAAGGCAGCATCGCCTCAGGACTCTGGGTGGAGAGGACATGGTGACCCTGTCCCAGGAGGCAAGGGGAGCCCTTGTGCTTTCCAGAAGGCCACCCCTTTAGCTCTGACTGGAAGGGAGCCCAGAGAGGTGAGGCACACACAAGAGAGCATGTGAGGCTCTGTAGGGGATGAGTCCTGCAAAGACCCAGACACTCACCACTCACATCCCTTCCCCTCCCCTCCCCTCGACTCCTCCCCTCCCCTCTGCCTCCTGGCCCAGTAAGCTTACTGGAATTGGGCTGAGGGAAAGAAAGAGGCAAAATGTTCTTTTATTGAGCATCTTCTTTAAGCCAGGCACAGGGCTTGGTTGGTTTCAAAGCACTCTCTGCTTTTTCCTTTAAACAATGTCCATTTTACTCATGTTCTAATGGGTAGGACATACATATGGTACAAAATACAAAAGATTCAAAAGGACCGATGGTCAAAAGTTAATCTCTCCCTTTTCCTGTCCCCCATGGCCCTTCTGGAGGGACACCTACAGTTACTAGGGTCTTGTGCATGCCCCAGAAAGATTCTGTGCACTTATAAACATATACTTTACCTCTTTAAAAAATTATTTTTAGTTGCAGGTGAACACATGGTATCTTTGTTTATCTCTATATGGTGCTGAGGATCGAACCCAGTGCCTCACACATGCAAGGCAAGCGCTTTACCACTGAGCTATAGCCCCAGCCCTTATGCTTGACCTCTTAACTGACTTACACATGAGGGGAACTGAGGCTCTCAGAGATGTTAAGTGGTTTCATTGAGGCCACACAGCTGTTGAGTTTGTAGAGCCAACCTTTGGAATAATATCTAACTCTTCATCACTTCAATATCCTTCCTAGGCAGCTACCCATGACAACCCTCCATGCTGAGGCCCTAGAGATCTGGGGTTTCTGGTGTACTGGCTGCTGAATATCCTGTGCCTCCACCCTGTGGCTCAGGGGGCCTGAACTGGTTTATCCCATATGGAAAAGGGGAAATTATTGCTAGTGCCCTTCTTGACTAATGTGTAGCAGGTGGTCCCCCTCAGGCCAGCCCAATTCCTGGGATCCAGGATTTGGAAAGGGAAGCCACACGAACATGGGGTTCTAGCTGGAGGGGGTTGTGGCTGTGGTTTCAATTATGTTTACAGAAAATGGCCTCATGATTTCCCTGTGGCTAGGCAGGAGTGACGGAGGATGGAAATGGTGGTAGCCACATGGTCAACTATGAAAGGGAGGGAAGGAGGCCGCAGTCAGTCCTAGCCAGGAGCAGAGGGTTGTATGGCCAAGAGGGCACTCAACTTCAGGCTCTTAAGGCCTTTTTTTTTCCTCTTGGATATGCCAAGGTGGACTGAGATATGATCCCCTGTATCTCCAGGTATGATCCTTGGGAACTTTCTAGATCCCAGCTTCCTGTTCAGTTTCTTTCTAGCACTCCATTTGTGTCTCAGTCTGGTGTCCTCTCAACTTAGAGGACTATGTTCCTGAGGCCCAAAGAAGAGGATCTCTCCTTATCTGAATTGTTAAGCAGAGACAGGTGTTAGAACCTTCTTTCTTGTTCCAGGATGACAACTTTCTGTCTAGCTAATGTAATCTCAGAACTTTCCACCCTTCGTGTTGATACACACAGATGGCCAGGTCTAGCTAAATGCTTTGTGATCAGAAATGTGCTATGATCTGCAAAAATAAAGTGGCAACCTGCCCAACCCTTAGGGACATTTAAACTGACAGCCTCACAGATGCCACACATAGCAACCATGGGATCTACATTGAGTTCTAGAACTTGGTCAGTCTTAGGAAGCAGGATATAATCTTAGTTTAAAATCAACAACAGGGCCTGAGGATGTGGCTCAAGCGGTAGCACGCCCACCTGGCATGTGTGCGGCCCAGGTTCGATCCTCAGCACCACATACATACAAACAAAGATGTTGTGTCTGCCAAAAACTAAAAATAAATAAATAAACATTTTTAAAAAATCAACAACAATAATAGTTAACAGCATTATAGTGCTTGACAGTGTTTGAAGCACTTTGCACACATTAACTTAATTCTTCTGACATTATGAGGTAGATACTGTTATTGTTGCCATGTTATGAATCAGAAGATGGAGGCAGAAACTGCTCAGAGTCACATGGCTCAAGGAATTGACAGAGCCTGATTTTAGACCTTTAATGCCTATATAGTCCTTATAGTTTTCATTCCATTCCTAGAACATAGCATATCTATTAGGTGTCTACTCAGGCCTGGGTGTGAGTGGGGAGGACTTAACTTAAGATATTGTGTCTGCTTTGGGGGGTAGAGACACATGTTTAAAAATTACCCTTCAAACACAAGAGGTGCTGAACCAAAAGTGTCAGCAATGTGAGGCAGGAACCAGGGAGGGCGAGGTTCATGCTTCTTAGAGCAAAGGTCACAGAAGAGCAGGCAGTGTTCAGGCAGAGGCAACAGCATGTGCGCAGGCATGAAGGCTTGCAAGGAAAAATGTGTGCCTTACTGTCAAAACATCATGGGCAGTGATTGTCAAGAGGAGTTGCCAGAGATCTCAGGGTTGCTGCTTCCATCCTGCTTCCTGTTCCAGCCTCTAAGCTGCCTGCATCTATTCTGTGCAGAGCACTGTGCCAGGTGTTAGCCCAGACTGTGTGATAGGATCAGTAGTCTGGTTAGGGGAGAAGGGCTTTGTGATCAGCTAAGGACCCCAAAGACTTTTGTGACTGGTGTTATTCCGAAGGTGAAGGGAAGGCTGATGGGAAGGGCTGTTAAAAGAGTATTATGAGAGAGCTTGCAGCTCTTGGTCATCTCTGGCCATGAAAAATTTTAGCGGGACAACTTGTAGGAAACGGTAGGGAAGGGGGCCCTCTGTGTGTCTGTGTGGGGCTGAGAAGGGGGTCTTTCCTCTTTTGCTCCTGCAGCTGGGTTTCTGGGGCTCTGATATGCCTTGTTTCAATGCTGGCCCTTGGAGGGTTGCCAGGGAAACCACTGGCCAGCTCCGGAGATGGAACGCAGGGGAGGAGAGTGTGTGACTCAGGCTGCCTTCCACACACCGCAACCCCTCCCCACCACTGGGGAAAGGATCTGGGAGACCCCCTGCCCCTGGATCCTACTGAGACGATCCCGCTTATTCTCCGCTGGATAAAGCAGTCGCTTCCGCAGCCCTGACTGGTGGGAGCTAGCAAGATTTCCCTGGGGAGGCAACTGTCTCCTCTGACCACCCATAGACACCCTGGGACAGTGCACGAATCCAGTCAGTTTGGGCTAAGTGTAAGCTCCTGCTGTTTCCATCCAGGCTTCTCGCCCGTCCGGGTGGTGCGGCTGGAGACCTGGCAGAGCCACTCTCACGGGAGCAAGCCCAGGATAATTATTGATCAGGGCTGCTGTGGACTTTTGACCTCGGCCTGTGAAGGGAGAGGACCCAGAACGCAGGCCCTGGCGCGGAGGGAGGGACGTGGGCGGGACACGGAGTTGGTGGGGGGGGGGACTGCCACGACCACGAGCGCTGGCCGGAGCCCTGTAGTGGTGGTCGACCCTCCCCAAACAAAGCAGCATGTGCTTGCCGCTGCGGCTGGGGAGTGGTGGCAGCAGACACTCAGTTGGCCAAGGAGCTGGTGTGCGTGGAGCAGGCCGGGTAGAGCGCGTTGCCACCGCGGGTGCGCGAGGGGGTTCTGCGTCCCGGTAGGGCGGCCGCGGAGGGGGCGCAAGAGACCAAGGGGCTCGCGAGCGCGCGCCAGGCGGAACCAGGAAGCCGGGCGCGCTCGGGGCTGCGGGCGGCGCGCGTCCCCGGGCCTCCGCGCGAGAGAGGCGCGCGCGCCCCCGTGGGCCCCGGCGGGAGAAGAGTCGGCGGCCGGAGCCGTCACCCCGGGCTGGGACCGTGCGCAGGCGACGACGCGCGGCGGCCCGGCCGAGGGAGGGAGCGAGCGAGCGGGCGGGCGGGCGAGCGGGCGAGCGAGAGCGTGGAGCCGGAGTAGCCGCTGGCGCCCGAGGGGCCGAGCGAGGTAGGAGCTGTGGGACGAGCCCGGGGCCGGGGGAGCGAGGCCGGGAGCAGGGCCGGGCGGGGCCCCCGTTCCAGCCGCCAAAACGTCCGGCAGGGCCGCTCCGCCGCCATCGCTCCCCGGCCGTGAGGCGGCCGCTGTGGCTGCGCACTGGGTGAGGGGAGCCCTGGGGGAGACGCGGCCGTGGCGGGCTGCAGAGGGGGCCGGGGCCGGGGCCGGGGCCGGGGTGGGGCGCGCGAGGGGGCTCGTGCGGAGGCTGCGGCGGAGCGGAGGGTGTGCAGAGCAAAGGCTGCGTGCGCGCGGGTTCGAGTGGGTGTGTGAGGGACCCCCGCCGGACCCCCAGCAGCGAAGGAGGCTGCTGTCCGCCACCTCGCACCTTCCTGTTGCAATTCCGAAGAGTCCCTGCGCGGCCCTTGCTTGCTTTCCCCTTTTTTCCCCTCGCTTCGAAAGAGGTGCCTTCGGTTCCCGGGGATGAGATGAGCCTGGGGGTGTCGGGTGGGGTGGGGGATATTAGCAAAGCTCCAAGAAACAGCGCCTTATAAGGAGTCAACGACAAATGCGAACATTTTGATAAGGCTCTGGGCTGCGGGATCCCACATCAGGACCCGCCAGGCCTGGGCAGTACGTGTGGCGGTGGGATGCGGGGTGTTCTTTTTTACAAGCCAGGGATAAAGAGCAAAGTGCTCCTGGTGTCCGGGGTAGATATGGAGAGTCGGAAGGGGAGTCGTCTTATCACAGAAACTGGTCTGAGGCTAAAGGAATCTGGCAAGATGGTCAGGGTGATCAAAGAGGAAAGAACTTGTGTGGAGCAAAAGGCGTTTGCAAACACTTGTAGCCAGCAGTGATGAAAAAGGCACGGAAGAAAAACAAGCGCCAGCTTTTAGGAAGATGGGATTAATGAAAACCGCAGGAATCCTAACGGCAAAAAGAGATACCGATTCTCTCTCCCCAAATTTTCTTTCTTTCATGCCCATGTTCTTGTTCTTAACCCATCATACCTGTATCAAGTAAATAATGGCAGAAGTGGGTCATAGAATCTTAGAGCTGAAAGAGACCCCCATTATTATGCTGCATACTTTTATTGTTCAAACGGGGAAACTAAGGCCCAGATAGGTGGAGTAGTTGACCTATTCTATTCACAAGGCTGTTTGTTTAGTAGTTCAGGGACTGAAACTTGGGTCTGAGGACTCTCACATCTGTTCTCTTCTCAAAACATAGAGAAGTTTATAGATCATTGCCTAAGTACAGTTCCATATATTGTCTCTGGAATGTACTTGGGCCCTTTAAAGGAATGGTGTGTCACCAAATAATACACTGGGCCTATGTCATTTTTGTCAGTCTTCAAGTGTTTATCATCTTGTATCTTAGGTTTCCAAAGCCGTTGGATTGCCGCCTGGGCCATAATAAGCTTTCAGCTGTTGAGTCCACATTATCTCAAATAATTTTGTTATCATTCAATTAAGATAATAGAACTTTGCATCTTTTCTCGACATTCTACTATTCATTTGTTTATGTTCTATTGTTTTATATTATTATCTACAGTTCTTAGAAGAAGATGTATTTGATTTAGTCTGCCTTTCATGTTTCTCTAATTTATTTTGTAACACTGAACATTAGATTGGTTCTGATTACAAATGAGGGGAATGCTATTGATCAACTTTGTCTTAAGGCTTTGGGTTTTTTTTATTTGGATACTAATTTCTATCTCATGCAAGATCACAGTTGTTAGAATTAATGGTGTTAAGTAGGAAAAGTGGCTGCTGATTTTAAGAAAAATTTACATTGCAGCAACAATAATTTTAAACACCACCTTTGGTGAGTTGTCATCTGGTAAGATGATTTGCTCTGAAAGATAAAAATTTCAAACACCAGGTTGAGATACAGAGAAGGAATGGAGAGATTTTTTTTTTCTTAAGCTACTATCAGGGGTAAAAAAAGTTTTATCTATCACCAGCAGTTTGGTTATTGCATAACTTAGAGCTAAACTCTCCACAAAATCTTTGCTGTATACCTAACTGAATAAAATATCCCACCTTCTCACTAGTTCTTACTTTTTCAGTTTACATATTTTTGCTAACAGGATATTAAAATGGATTATGTTAAGTGTAAGGTAGATATGTTTCTTAAATGTGTACTTCATAATATGTATGATAGTAGGAGAAAAAGTGCTATCATTGTTTGGAGTGTTACAACATAAATATTTTGGCCAACACTTCCTATCATGCTGTTGACTTCTCATTTCACCTTCATTTTCTTCCTCTCAAGTAATTTTGTTTTTATTTTATTTACATATGCAAAAAACATATCAAGACTAAAGGTGTCATTTATTGATTTTGAGGGTACTTATTTGAATTTTTTTTCATATTATTGTTAGTATTCAGATTATTTGTGATTTGTGTTAGACTTATATTTATGAATATGCTTCATGTGGTTCCTTTGGCTTATGGTTATGCAGGTAGGTAAGACAGGTGATCCTCTTGTAAAAAGAAGAGGCTATAGAGGTAAATAACTTGCTCAAGATTAAAGGCAAATTTAAGGTGGAATCAGAGGAAGCCTAATTGTTGTAGTGTCTTACAAGGCATGTATGTGCATTATAAAGTTATTTATAGATCCATGGACATTCCATCAATGATGCATTTTCCCCTTTCTATTAGAGTATAGATTACCCATCATTCCTACAAAAGAAAGCATGAAACCTTTAAAAAAATGTGTGTGTTATTTATTTATTTATTTTTTTAGCATTTGAAACATTGTTTAAAAAAGTTAACCCTGGAAATCAGGGTTACTGAGCTCAGAAGATTATCCTTTTTCTATATAATATAGTATGAAAATACGTTGACTTTGAAACTTCTTAATGAAAATGATGTTTAAAAATTAGCCCTAAGGTATCGCTGTCTCCAGATATATGCGTGATATTAAAAAAAATTCTTTTAATCTAAGCTCTGAATAGAGTTGTTCCAAAATCTGAAGTATTTTTCCCCTACAGTGTTGTAAACACAACTGTTTTATGCTTATTTCTGGGAATAAGAAAGTCAGATTTAACAATCTAGTTTCCATTGATCAGACAGGGCTTTTTTGTTGTTGTTGTTATTGTTGTTTTTTGTTTTTTTTTTGTGTGTGGTATGAAACTAAAATTTTGCACATGTGAGGAAGCACTGGGCTGCATTCCCAGCCCTTTTTATTTTACTTTGAGACAGAGTTGTACTGAGTTGCCTGGGCTGGCCTCCCTTGAACTTGCCATCCTTATATACTTCTGCCTCTTGAATAGCTGGGATTACAGGCCAGCACCACAACACGGAGCAATCAGTTTTTCCACATTTAAATTTTAAGTATCTCAGTGATAAGAGTTTTTAATTGTATTCACTCTTAATTATAGTGACCTTATTTGAAGGAAAATATTGACATTGGATGTTTTATTAAGGATGATCCTTTACTACTTAAAAACCTAAGCCACCTTAGATATGATTTTATATATTTAAATCTATACTATTTTTACCCATCAAAAGAGGGGAGTAATTTACAGATGTTAAATTTTTAGTTGATTGAATAAGACCCTCGCTTTTGGTGGTTTCAGGGTTTTAGATGATGTTTTATTACTTTTGTTAGTTTTGGTCACACCCATGACTTCCTTGGAAGGTATCTTTGAGGTTTGGTTTCCTTTTTTTTTTTTTAATGGTAATATTGGGGTGGGGGTGCTTCCTGTTTATATTTTCAAAATTAGGTCCACGTGTCAACCTTCTTGTAGTATCACATTTTTATTTTCAACATACAAAGACAGACATCAGATAAGGCGTGGTTTGTCTTTGACCCATTGTTCTGCTTACAGGACAGTGTCACTGGGCTAAGCCTGAATGTCCAATTGGGAAGGCAAGAACTTGAATCTTCTCCCAACTCTCTTCAAGGTTTAGCAGCCTTGGAAGGGAACCTTAACAATTAACAGAAAAAACAGGACTCCTGCTCTGATTCCAGGTACCAGAAAATTTTATAGCACTAAGATAGAGAAGAAACATGTTATATGCTTGTCTGTCAGCACTCTGAAAAAGAATTGCCATAAGTTTGTATGACATAGAAGCTCATTTATAAAGCAGTAGCTCTAGTGGGTTTTCTGACCTTATCTAAAAGCCATATATGGTGTCAGGGAAGACTTAATAAGAACAAGGAGAAATTTTAGGCTATGGTAGTAGAGCAATCACCCTCAGTCTTAAAACTCTTCTTTGGCCCTCTGGAATAATTTTTAAGTGGACTGTTGCGGGGAGGCAGAAGTGGGGATGCTGGGGATTGAACCCAAGGCTCTAAGTATACTAGGCAAATTCTTTACTCCTGGGCTGTATCCCCAGCTTTGCAGGGTCACTTTTAATGTAAATGTTAGAAAATGAGTTATGTGGAGCCCTGTAGTATTGCTTCAGTGATTAAAGCCAGTCATCTTTTCCCAGCCTTTAACGTACTTTATTCTAAGAAGTATAATAACTAAATAGACTCCTAATTGAATTGGCATTCAGATCTGTTTGTAGTTTGGGGGAATTTACCTCTTCTGCATTTTCTTTTGAATCTGTCCTAAAAGCAATACTACATTAGGGTGGGCACAGTTGTGCATAAGTAATTTGCAAGTGAAGTTATTACTGGGACTACCTTGACCTCCCATTCCCTCCACCTCTGTAGTCAAGAAAGAAGTTACAATTGATCTTTTACAGGATATTTTTCCTTTGAGTTTATTCATACTAATTATACCCATTTCCTCGTGTATCATACCATTAAGATAAAAAACAAATATATTGATTGATTCAGAACATTTATCTTTTTCTACCTGCTTTTGGAAGCTAGCTTGCAAAATCTACTGCAACACTCTCCATTTATTCTTCCATTACCTTTGGCACTCTGAATAACCCTTTTCAACATTTTTGCACATTTTTATTATGAAGTGAAATAGCTCCGTATTTTATGCACTGCTAGTTTTTTGAGGTGCTTGTACTGACTCATTTTAAAAATTATACTAAGATAGAGAGCATGGTTTGAGAGCAAGTAATGAGATTCTCAGAAAATATGAAAACTTTCCTTTCTGACTAGTTAGAGAAAGGTTGGGGAAGACAAGGGGAAATACATCAGTGAGCCAATCAATTATTGTTATTTGTTGGGATTAATTTGGTGACTAATATTTTCAGTGCCCATCAATCACGTTAGTAAATGTGAATTTGGCTTTACCCTGCAATGATAACAGGACAAACCCAAGTGTTTTCTAATACTGCTTGTTTTCCCCTAGTAGGGGTTTTTTTTTGCATATGGGAAATCAAGCCAAAGTTACCAGTAACAGCCACATCCATGATTTTTATTTAAAAAAATAACACATTCTAGGCTACAGAACTACTTACCATGGGCTCATCTGAGTAGATATTCTAATTATTGTATAATAATTATTATGCCTTCTTTCAAGAAGTGAACAGAAAATAAAAAATAAAAAAGAGTACTCCAAATTGTGCCCAAAGCCAGAGTTCAAGAAAA